CCGCTGGAATCAAGGATGGAATTCCAAGTTTAATTCCAGAGAATTCAGTGGGAAACCAGTCTGGAATTCCAAGTTTATTCCAGAAAATTCCTGGGGAATTCAGGATGGAATTTCATGTTTAATTCCTGATAATTCTGCTGGAAACTGGGATGGAATTCCAGGAAATTCAGTGGGAATTCGGGATGGAATTCCAGGTTTAACTCCTGAAAATTCCAGGGAAAACCAGGATGGAATTCCAAGTTTAATTCCAGAGAATTCAGTGGGAAACTGGGATGGAATTCCATGTTTAACTCCTGAAATTTCCAGAGGAATTCAGGCCGGAATTCCAAGTTTATTCCAGGAAATTCTGATGGAATCTGGGACGGAATTCCAAGAAATTCAGTGGGATTTCAGCATGAAATTCCAAGTTTAGCTCCTGAAAATTGCGGGGGAAACCAGTCCGGAATTCCAAGTTAATTTCAGGAAATTCTGCTGGAATTTGGGATGGAATTCCAGGTTTAACTCCTGAAAATTCCAGGGAAAACAGGGATGGAATTCCAATTTTAATTCCAGAAAATTCTGCTGGAATCAAGGATGGAATTCCAAGTGTAATTCCAGATAATTCAGTGGGAATCAAGGATGGAATTCCATGTTTAATTCCAGCCAATTCAGCTGGAATCCATGGAATTCCAAGTTTCATGGGAATGATGGGAAATCTCCGGCTCCAGCTCGGCTCCGCCATTCCCGACTCAATCCCAGCGGGATGGAATTTCCGGGATGGAATTCCCAGGATGGAATTCCCGGGATGGAATTTCTGGGATGGAATTCCCGGGATGGAATTCCCGGGATGGAATTCCGGGATCACATTCCCGGTCTCCACGGAAACGTCTCAGACGTGATTTATAAGGAAAGGCGGCAAAAATTCCCAAAATTCCCAAATTTTCCTCCCTGGGGGGCTCTGGAGCTTTTCCTACTCCCAAAATTCCCAAATTTTCCTCCCTGGGGGGCTCTGGAGCTTTTCCTACTGGGAATTTTCTGGGATTTTCCCAGATTTTCTCAATTTTTCCCGGATATTTCCTGGATTTTTCCCAGGTTTTCCTGGATTTTCCCCAAATTTTCCCAGATATTCCCAAATTTTCCTGGATTTTCCCCAGATTTTCTCAGATTTTTCCCACATTTAATTGGATTTTTCCAGTGTTTTTCTCCAATTTTTCTGAATTTCCCCAGATTTTCTGGAATTCTCTGGGATTTCCCTGAATTTTTCCCAGATTTCCCTGGATTTTCCTAATTTTTTTTCCAGATTTCCTTGGATTTTTCCCAGATTTGCCTGGATTTCCCTGGATATTCCCAAATTTTCCTGGATTTTTCTCAAATTTTTCCCATATTTTCCAAAATTTTCATGTCTTTTCCCAGATTTTCTTGGATTTTCCCCAAAATTCCCAGCTTTTCCTGGATGTTTCCTGCATTTTCCCTGGATTTCCCCAGATAGTCCCAAATTTTCCTGGATTTTCCCCAAATTTTCCCAGATTTCCCAGGATTTTTCCTGGATTTTCCTGCATTTCCCTGGATATTCCCAAATTTTCCCAAATTTTTTCCCAATTTCTTCCAAATTTTCCTGGATTTTTCCAGGATTTTCCTGAATTTTTCCCAAATTTTCCCAAATTTTCATGGATTTTTCCCATTTTTTTCCAGATTTTTTTTAATTTCCCTGGATATTCCTAAATTTTCCTGGATTTTTCCCAAAATTTTTCCAAATTTTCTTGGATTTTTCCTGGATTTCCCCTGGATTTTTCCCAAATTTTCCCAGATTTTCCCAAATTTTCCCAGATTTTTCCCAGGTTTTTCCAGATTTCCCTGGATTTTCCTGCATTTCCCTGGATATTCCTAAATTTTCCTGGATTTTCCCAGATTTTCCCAAATTTTCCCAGATTTTTCCCAGGTTTTTCCAGATTTCCCTGGATTTTCCTGCATTTCCCTGGATATTCCTAAATTTTCCTGGATTTTTTCCCGTTTTTTTCCAGGATTTTCCCCGTATTTTCCAAGATTTTCATGGATTTTCCCAGATTTTCATGGATTTTCCCCAAAATTCCCAGATTTTCCTGGATGTTTCCTGCATTTCCCAGATTTTTCCAGATTTCCTTGGATATTCCCAAATTTTCCTCGATTTTTCCCAAATTTTCCTGGATTTTTCCCAGATTTTCCAAAATTTTCCTGGATTTTTCCTGGATTTTCCCCCAAATTCCCAGATTTTCCTGGATGTTTCCCAAATTTTTCCCGGATTTTCCTGGATTTTTCCCAGATTTTCCTGGATTTTTCCCAGATTTTCCCAGCTCTCAGGCCCATTCCCAAATCGCGGGAATCTCCGAACATCCAAAAATCCGGGAAGTGACTCCGGGACTTTGGGAAGGGGAGGTTGGATCCCAAATTCCCTGGGAATGGGAAAAGGAATTCCCAGGAATTCCCAGGAAATTCCCAAAGGAACCGGGATGAGGAAAATTTTCCCAACATTCCAAGAAAAAAAAAATGGGATGAGGAGGAAGCTGAGGTTCGGGATTGTTGTCGGGATTATTCCCAAGATTATTCCAAACATTCTTCACAGGATTTTTCCAGGATTGTTCCCAAAATTCCTGGGATTATTCTCAGAATTCCCAGGATTTTTCCAGGGATTTTCCCAGGATTATTCAAAAAATTCCCAGGATTATTTCCAGAATTCCCAGGATTTTTTCCCAGAATTTTTCCCAAAATTCCCAGGATTATTCCCTGGATTTTCCCCAGGAATAAAAATAAAATAAAATAAAATAAAATAAAATAAAATAAAATAAAATAAAATAAAATAAAATAAAATAAAATAAAATAAAAGCATTTTTAATTAATTAATTAATTAAAAATTAATTTATTTAATTTAATTAATTAATTAATTAAAAATTTGTTTGTTATTTTCACATCCCAAAACCACTTGGGAAAAACAAAAAATAAAAATTCCAACCTTTTCCCCTCCAGCTCGACTCAAATCCCAAATTCTTTTGAATTATTTTTTAATAATTATCATTTTTTAATACTTATTATTATTAATGAAAACAAACCCTAAAATCCTCCTTAAACCTGAAAAAAAAAAATCCAAGAAAAACCGAGAATTCCTGGAATTTTTTTCTCTTTGGAATAAAATTAAAATTAAAAAATAAATTAAAAAATAAATAAAATAGAATAAAATAAAAACAAATTAAATTAAATTAAATTAAATTAAATTAAATTAAATTAAATTAAATAAAAATAAAATAAAATAAAATAAAATAAAATAAAATAAAATAAAATAAAATAAAATAAAATAAAATATTGAAATAAAATTAAATTTTAATTATTTAATTAATTAATTTCAATTAATTAATTAATTAATTAATTAATTTTCACATCCCAAAACCGTTTGGTAAAACAAAAAAAAAAAACCAAAAAATTCCAACCATTTCCCCTCCACGCCACCGAAATCCCAAATAATTTTTAATTATTTTTCTTAATAATTATTAATTTTTAATAATTATTATCTTTAATGAAAAACAAACCCCAAAATCCTCCTTAAACCTGAAAAAACAATCCCTGAAAAAATCCAAGAAAAACCGAGAATTCCTGGAATTCTTTTCCCTTTGGTATAAAATTAAAAATAAAAATAAATTTAAAAATAAATAAAATAGAATTAAATATTAAATTAAATTAAATTAAATCAGGATAAAATAAAATAAAATAAAATAAAATAAAATAAAATAAAATAAAATAAAATAAAATAAAATAAAATAAAATAAAATAAAATAATTAAAGAAATAAAACTTTAATTGATTAATGAATTAAAAATTAATTAATTAATTAATTAAATAATTGAATTTTTGTTGTTTTTTTCACATCCCAAAAACGTTTGGAAAACCAAGATTTTAACCATTTCCCTTCCAGCTCGATGAAAATCCCAAATTCTTTTTTAATTCTTTTTTTAATAATTATTAATTTTTAATAATCATTTTTTTTTTAAATAAAAACAAACCCCAAAATCCTCCTTAAACCCGAAAAAACAATCCCTGAAAATATCAAAGAAAAACCGAGAATTCCTGGAATTTTTTTTTTCCCTTTGGAATAAAAAAAAAAAACCTGGAAAAGGCCTCGGTGCTCCCGATCCCCCTTCCCGGGGCTCCGCCATCGACACCGCCCCGGCCATGAATCCCTGAATCCATCGGCACCTGGAAAACAGCGCTGGAAAAGCTGGAAAAACCAGGCCGGGAAAGGCGGAAAATTCCCAAATCCAGGGGAAAAATTAATTGAAATCCTGGGAAAATATTGAATTTAATCCTGGGAAAATATTAATTTAAATACCGGGAAAATATTAATTATATCCTGGGAAAATATTGAATTTAATCCTGGGAAAATATTAATTTAAATACCGGGAAAATATTAATTAAATCCTGGGAAAATATTGAATTTAATCCTGGGAAAATATTAATTTAAATACTGGGAAAATATTAATTTAAATACCGGGAAAATATTAATTAAATCCTGGAAAAAAATTGAATTAAATCCCGGGAAAATAATAATTTAAATACTGGGAAAATATTAATTTAAATCCTGGGAAAAGATTGAATTTAATCCTGGGAAAATATTAATTTAAATCCTGGGAAAAGATTGAATTTAATCCTGGGAAAATATTAATTAAATCCTGAAAAAAATTAATTAATTCTTGGGAAAATATTAATTAAAATTCTAGGAAAATATTAATTTAAATACCGGCAAAATATTGATTAAATCCTGGGGAAATATTAATTTAAATACGGGGAAAATATTAATTAATTCCGGGGGAAAAAAATCAATTAAATCCTAGGAAAATATGAATTAAATCCCGGAAAATAATGAATTAAATCCTGGGAAAAAAAAAATTGAATTAAATCCTGGAAAAAATTAATTAAATATGGGGAAAAAATGAATTAAATATGGGAAAAAAAATGAATTAAATCCCAGAAAAAAATTAATTAAATTCTGGAAAAAATTAATTTAAATCCCAGAAAAAAAATCATTTAAATCCCTGGAAAAATAGAAATTAAAGGATGGGTCGGGATCCGCCTTGGAATTCTTTGGGATTTTCCTGCCTGGTCCTGAGCAGATCCAGGATTTCCTTGGCTCAACTGATCGAGGTGAGGAGGATCCCTCTGGAAAAGTGGGAATGGAGGTCGGGAATGAGGATTTTCCCAAAAAAAACCCGGGAATTTAAGGTGGATCCGAGGAATTCCGAGGGGTTTTGGGGTTTTTTTTTTTAAGGAATTTTTTTGGGGTTGAAATCGGGAATTTTGGGGTTTTTTGGGGTGGGAAAATGATCCTAAAAATTCCTGGTGGATATTCCAGATTTTTGGGATGAGTTTTGTTTCTCTTGTTTTTCCTCATTCCCAGGAAAACCTGGAATTCCCTGGGAATTCCTCCCCCTTTTCCCTAAGGATGACTTTGCATTTTCCTTGGGGGAAAAAACCGGGAATAATCCCAGAGGAAAATCCAGAGGGAAATTCCTGCCTGGAATAAACCCAAAAATCCCAGATCCCAAAAATTTCCCCCTCTGGAAATTCCAGCTGGGAATTCCTGGAGCAGAATTTTGCCAGGATTTCTGGGATGGGAGAATTCCAGGAATTTCCCAGGATTTTTGGCCTTTCATCCCTCCCCAATTTTCCCGGATTTCCAGCCTCTCTTCCCTTTCCCTTTCCCAGATTTTTCCAGGATTTTTGGCCTCTCTTCCCTCCTTTTCCATATTTTTTTTCCCAGGATTTCCAGACTCTCATCCCTGCTTTTATCCTGATTTTCCCCAGAATTTCCTGCCTCTTTTCACTCCCTTTCCATATTTTTTTCCCAGGATTTCCAGTTTCTCATCCCCCCCCCATTTTTCCAGGATTTTTGGCCTCTCATCCCGGCCCTTTCCATATTTTTTTTTCCCCAGAATTTCCAGTTTCTCATTCCTGCTTTTATCCTGATTTTTCCCAGCATTTCCAACCTCTCATCCCGCCCCATTTTTCCAGGATTTCTGGCCTCTCATCCTTCCTTTCCCATTTTTTCCCAGCATTTCCAGCCTCTTTTCCCTCCCTTTACATATTTTTTCCCAGGATTTCCTGTTTCTCATCCCTCCCCATTTTTCCCAGGATTTCCGGCCTCTCCTCCCTTTCCATTTTCCATATTTTTTTTCCCATCATTCCCGGTTTCTAATCCGTTCCCATTTTTCCAGGATTTTCGGTTTCTAATCCGTTCCCATTTTTCCAGGATTTTTAGTCTCTCATCCCTCCCTTCCCATATTTTTTTCCCAGGATTTTTGGCCTCTTTTCCCTCCCTTTCCATATTTTTTTCCAGGATTTCCAGTTTTTCATCTCTGCTCTTATCCATATTTTTCCCAGAATTTCCGGCCTCTCTTCCCTCTTTTTCCATATTTTTTTCCAGGATTTCCTGTTTCTCATCCCGCCCCATTTTCCCAGGATTTCCGGCCTCTCATCCTGCTTTTATCCTGATTTTTCCCAGCATTTCCAGCCTCTTTTCCCTCCCTTCCCATATTTTTTTCCCAGGATTTCCTGTTTCTCATCCCTCCCCGTTTTTCCAGGATTTTTGGCCTCTCATCCCTTACCCTTTTCCAGATTTTTCCAGGATTTTTCAACCTCTCATCCCTGACCTTATCCCGATTTCTTCCAGGATTTTTGGCCTCTCTTCCCTCTCCTCCCATATTTTTTTTTCCCAGGATTTCCAACCTCTCCTCCCCTCCCATTTTTCCAGGATTTTTGGCCTCTTATCCTGGCCCTTTCCAGATTTTTTTCCCAGCATTCCCGGTTTCTAATCCTTTCCCATTTTTCCAGGATTTTTAGTCTCTCATCCCTCCCTTCCCATTTTTTCCCAGGATTTCAGGCCTCTTTTCCCTTTTCCCATTTTTTTTTTCCCTCTTTTCCCTCTTTTTTCCCCATGTTTATTTTTCCAGGAATTTTCCCATTTTTCCCACCACTTTTCCCTCTTTTTTTTTTTTTTTTTTCCCAGTTTTTTTCCCTCCCAGTTTTTTACTTCAGGAATTTTCCCATTTTTTCCTCTTTTCCCTCTTTTTTTCCCAGGGTTTTTTTTTCAGGAATTTTCCCTTTTCTCTTCTTTTCCCTCTTTTTATTCCCATTTTTTTCCAGGAATTTTCCCATTTTCTCCTCTTTTCCCTCTTTTTATTCCAAATTTTTTCTGGGAATTTTCCCATCCTAAATCTTTTCTCCCTCTTTTTTTCACAGTGTTTTTTTGGGTGGAATTTTCCCATTTCTCCCACCAGTTTTCCCTCTTTTCATTCCAAAATTTTTTTGGGAATTTTCCCATCCTGAACCCTTTTCCCCCCTCTTTCTTTTCCCATTTTTTTTCAGGAATTTTCCCATTTCTCCCTCCTTTTTTCCCCTGTTTTTTTCCCAATTTATTTTTTTCCTAGTTTTTTTTTTTTTTTCCAGGAATTTTCCCTTTTTTCCCACCACTTTCTCCTCTTTTTTTCCCAGTTTTTTGGGGAATTTTTCCCATCTTATAATATTTTCTCCCTCTTTTTTTCCCCATTTTTTGGGGGGAATTTTCCCATTTCTCCCTCCAGTTTTCCCTCTTTTTAATCCAAATTTTTGGGGGAATTTTCCCATCCTAAACCCTGTTTTCCCAGCTTTTTTTCTTTTGGGAATTTTCCCGTTTCCCCCTCAAGTTTCCCTCTTTTTCCCCCATTTTTTTCCCGGGAATTTTCCCATTTTCTCCTCTTTTCCCTGTTTTTTTTCCCCCAGTTTTTCTTTTTCCCAGTTTATTTTTTTTCAGGAATTTTCCCATTTCTCCCACCACTTTTCCCTCTTTTTTTCCCTCTTTTCACTCCCTTTTTTTTTCCAGGAATTTTCCCTTTTCCCCCACCACTTTTCCCTCTTCCTTTCCCGTTATTTTTTTCCAGGAATTTTCCCATTTCCTCTTTTCCCTGTTTTTTCCCCAAGGCCACGACGGCTCCGCCGAAGCCGAAGCCGGATCCGGTGACGTCGGAGACCGTGGTGATCTGGGGGCTGCGCCTGTGGCAGGTGGTCGGGATCTTCGCCCTCTTCGTCCTCTCCATCAGTGAGTCCCGGAATTCCCGGAATTCCCGGAATTCCCCATCCCCACGGGAATCCTTCCTGGGAAAATCCCCCCTTGGAGTTCTTGGGAATGCTGGAAGTGAGTGGGGAGGGATCGGGAATCGGCTGGAGACGCACTTCGGGGAATTCGGGAATGCTCGGGAATCTGGGAATGGGGAGGGGATTGTGGGGTGCCTTGGGAATCCGGGAATGGGTCAGGAATCTGGGAATGGGTTGGGAATACGGGAATGGGTCGGGAATCTGGGAATGGGTCGGGAATACGGGAATGGGTCGGGAATACGGGAATGGGTCGGGAATATGGGAATGGGTTGGAATGGGAATCATGGAATGGGTTGGGAATCTGGGAATGGGTCAGGAATCCGGGAATGGAGAGGGAATTGTGGAGTGCCTTGGGAATCTGGGAATGGGTCGAGAGTCTGGGAATGGGTCAGGAATCTGGGAATGGTTTGGGAATCTGGGAATGGAGAGGGAATTGTAGAATAGATTGGGAACCCAGGAATGGGTTGGGAATCCAGGAATGGGTCAGGAATTGTAGAATAGATTGGGAATCCGGGAATGGGTTGAGAATCCAGGAATGGGTTGGATTTGGAATCATGGAATGGGTTGGGAATCCAGGAATGGGCTGGGAATCCAGGAATGGGTTGGGAATCCGGGAATGGGTTGGGAATCCGGGAATGGAGAGGGAATTGTGGAGTGCCTTGGGAATCATGGAATGGGTCAGGAATCCTGGAATGGATTGGATTGGGAATCGGTGAATGCTTTGGGTCGGGAATCATGGAATGTTTGGGAATTGTGGAATGAGTCAGGAATCATGGAATGCTTTGGGTTGGGATCCATGGAATGGGTTGGGAATCTGGGAATGGTTTGGGTTGGGAATTGTGGATTGACTTGGATTGGGAATCTGGGAATGGTTTGGGTTGGGATCCATGAAACGCCTTGGGAATCCGGGAATGGTTTTTGTTGGGAATCCTGGAATGCTTTGGTTTGGGAATGGTGGAATGGGCTGAAATCATGGAATGCCTTGGGAATCCTGGAATGTTTGGGAATCCTGGAATGCCTTGGGAATCCTGGGATGGGTTGGATTGGGAATCATGGAATGGGTCGGGAATCTGGGAATGGGTCGGGAATCCTGGAATGCCTTGGGAATCCTGGAATGGATCGGGAATCCTGGAATGGATCAGGAATCATGGAATGCCTTGGGAATCAAGGAATGGGTTGGGAATCCAGGAATGCTTTGGGAATCCTGGAATGTTTGGAATTCCAAGATTTTCCACTTGATTTCAGCTGGGATTTGAAACCCCTGGGATTTTTAACCTGGAAGTGCCGAGAAGAACGGGAAAAATCCAGGAAAATTGGAATATCCCGAAAGGAAAAGGATCCATAGAAATCCAAATCCAACTCCCGGTTCCGGAAAATCGGGAATAAACAGGAAAAGGATCATTTCAATGGGAAACCGGGAATTGAAATTCCCAAATCTGATAAAAATCCTGAATTCTGGAACCAGCAAAAATTCCAAAATTAGGGAAAGAATCAAATTCCAAACCCAGGTAAAATCCTGAAATTCCAAATCCAGGGAATTCCAGAACAGGGAAAAATCCCAAAATTCCAAATCCAGGGAATTCCAGAACCGGGGAAAAATCCTAAAATTCTAGATCCAGGGAATTCCAGAACTGGGAAAAATCCCAAAATTCCAAATCCAGGGAATTCCAGAACTGGGAAAAATCCCAAAATTCCAAATCCAGGGAATTCCAGAACCGGGAAAAATCCCCAAATTCCATATCCAGGGAATTCCAGAACCGGGAAAAATCCCGATTTCTGGGAGATCCCAGGGATTTGAAAATCCGGGATAAATCTGGAGCATCCCAAGGGATCCCAGGNGGATTAAATTCAATATTTTCCCAGGATTTCAATTAATTTTTCCCCTGGATTTGGGAATTTTCCGCCTTTCCCGGCCTGGTTTTTCCAGCTTTTCCAGCGCTGTTTTCCAGGTGCCGATGGATTCAGGGATTCATGGCCGGGGCGGTGTCGATGGCGGAGCCCCGGAAAGGGGGATCGGGAGCACCGAGGCCTTTTCCAGGTTTTTTTTTTTTATTCCAAAGGGAAAAAAAAAATTCCAGGAATTCTCGGTTTTTCTTTGATATTTTCAGGGATTGTTTTTTCGGGTTTAAGGAGGATTTTGGGGTTTGTTTTTATTTAAAAAAAAAATGATTATTAAAAATTAATAATTATTAAAAAAAGAATTAAAAAAGAATTTGGGATTTTCGTCGAGCTGGAAGGGAAATGGTTAAAATCTTGGTTTTCCAAATCCAGGGGAAAAATTAATTGAAATCCTGGGAAAATATTGAATTTAATCCTGGGAAAATATTAATTTAAATACCGGGAAAATATTAATTTAAATCCTGGGAAAAGATTGAATTTAATCCTGGGAAAATATTAATTAAATCCTGAAAAAAATTAATTAATTCTTGGGAAAATAAG